GAATGGTGGGACTGTGGGGGTGTCCTGTGCAGGGCCAGGAGTTGGACGTGATAATCCTGGTGGGTGTCTTCCAACTTAGGATATTCTATGATTCTATGGTTCCAGGAATAAATTAGCAACCTTTGAAGGGCTTTTTTTAACACATCAAACACAACTGCCATTACCACCAGTACAGAAGTCTAGTACAACACCGTCTGTGACCCAGAGGGCTCCTGTAACCCAGACAGTCCCCTGGATCACCAGGCCGAAAACAAATACTGTAGGTCAATTCACAGGCAAAGGATGCTGCTTCCCTGCCACATAAAGGAAAAGAGGAACTTAAACCACAACTTTGTTAACACCCATCTATTCCTGAAATGGTCGAGGATGGCCTGGTGGAAGCCAACCTACAGAACAATTCGGGGATTCAGTCACTGTTTTCACTTAATTGGAATCTGTATTTCTTAACTTCTAACTCTTAAATAGAGTTCTTAAATTCTGTTCTACACATCCTTGCACATCCCTAAAATGCTGCACCAGACTCCTTGCAAAATTTTACTTCAGGAAATCTTCAAACAACATTGGTGAAGTTGGTCCTTGGCAAGTAGGAACCCTTTTGTCGTCTGAGTCGCTCCGAATCAAGATTTACCACAACGTGTGTACAGGATGAACAGCTGCAGAAATCACATAATTTCTTCTATTTTAACACTTTTTTGCATGCAATCACTTAAATATGACAGCCATAATGGTACCTATTTATGAAAGGTGACTGTAAATGAGGCTGGAAGCCCGCCTGACTGCAAACATATAGCAGTTATCTCTATATATGTTCTAAGATCTGTTAACATCCCCATATATAGTCTGTTTCTGTGTGAAAATCTAAAAAGAAAGATATTCTTCCACAATTCAGATAAAATCACAGGCACTTGAAATGGCAAGCTGTAAAATGAATAAAATCAAATCCTTTTCAGACTGCACAATTATACCAAGAAGTTCACCAACACAGGAGGCTGTGAACACTAAAGCCATAAAGTTTTTCAAAACAAATTAAGACATTTTTAAGAGAAGACAATCCATCAGCAGCTATTAAACACAACAGCCTCACTGGAACTGCCAGCCCAAAGATTTCCTAGAGTAATGACCACTGGAAGGGTTTACCAGCAGGACAACTCTGGAGTTACAGTTTTCCTATGAACCAGAAAGTGGCCCCAACATTAAAGCTACTGAGTTAGACACGTCTCTAGTCCAGCCAAGAATAACTGTTCTTACTCCATTCACAAAATTGAAGGTGACAAGATCCCAACCTGTTAATAAATTAGAGCTGAAGTAAACTAATACCAGTAACAGCCTTAACATTACTGAGTGCATATCACATCCCATACCACCTCCTCTGAACATCCAACAATAACAGAGCCTTAACAATGTTAGCTATTCCCCAAAATCCCTCTCTCAGATTCCAGTGTACCCTAAATGTGCTTGTGTACATTTATCACAAATATGTTATACAGCACACACAGCAGCCAGTAGCACAGTGAGAGACATTTGCAAGTGCCTGTGAAATCCCTTTGCAGTTAGATGTTTGCTTATATAGAATTAAACACGGTCAGCAAGGAAATAAATAATAATACTAATATTAATAAACCCTTTCCGGAGTACTTTTGAATGTGTATCCAAAATGTAGTCCTGTTCCATCATCTGCTGAAGGATGGAAAAGCAGCATCCTGAAGGGTATCTTACCTTTTCCTGAATGAGAGGAAGGTTGGAAGGGCTCGGGCTCCACACCAACATGAAGGCCTCCAGAAAACTGACTGCAGGAGTCGGTTATTCCTCCTTTCTCCCAAACACTCGATGCCACCACATACTGTATTTTTAGAGCAAGGTCCACCTTCTAGAGCACCAGAGCCCACACCAGAGCACCGTGGTACAACCGCAGAGCGGGGTCTGAGCGTGCACAGACACGGAGAGGTCCCTGCTGACAAACACCTCCCTCTCCCCCCTGCGCTCTGGCTACTTCCCCATCCCAGGCTTCCACCTTCCCCTTTCAGCTCCTATCTCTCCCAGCAGGGTCTCAGCTCTGGTACAGCATCGATGCCTACGCGTCATCGCCTCCTCTCTGAGCACGTTCAGGGAGACAAGCCTCAAACCCCCCCTGCAGCAACACTGCCCCCACGACAACGAGGGGAAACGGCCAACTAATAATGGACCGGTTGAGGGGCTGCCAGCTTCAGCAAATGTGGCTGGAATTGTATTTTTTTTTAATTTAGAAAGCTTCCAGTTGAGCACTGGGTCATCTTCCTTGACCCAACACCTGGACTGCAACAGCACAAAGCCTGCACAGCACCCTGGGCACCCCAGGCTGTGCACAAAGATGTTCACCCAGGCCTTTGCTTGTCAACTAAATGAAGCTGAAAGTAAGTTTGCCCATGCGTGCAAGCAGCACCTAAGGCACTGCAGAAGCTCCTGGAGCACAGACAATCGATAGCAAGTACATTATGATCCCAAGGAGTTTACTAAAAACTTATTTAGTACGTTACTGTGTCCACTCATTGAGTCTTCATCCAATATTTGCAATACTCCGACTGCAGCAGATCTGCCCGATGTAAACAATCGCCCTAATCCACGCTGTTATATGGATCGTATTTACCCCAAGCTGAACGATCATTTCAACCTTTGTTAATCTGATTGCATAACAAACCACAGCAGCCTTAAATAACCAAGCTGCTCTCTCCAGCACGGGTTAGTTGAAATCAGTCATTTCAGCACCTCGCTTCTTTTAAAAAACAAACCAAACAAGATCGTGGAGAAAGCAGAAGATAAAAGCACCTGGCGGATCATGGAGAAATAAGACAATAAAAGCACCTGGTCACCGCTTTCACAGCCAACTCCCGTACACATCACAGCGTGCAGATGCCATGGAGTAACTTCACACCTGGTGTAGGCTGCGAGCACAAGGTAAAGCAAAATGTTTTCAACCACTGAACAATATTGTGCAATCGAAGCACATTCTGCTGGATCTTATTCACAGCTCCAGCGCAGGCTCGTAAGCAAACTATACAGCGTGGATTTTCAAAACAAGTAATTGCACGTAGATAAACAAAGGCTGTAACTGACATGGCAGATCCTAGAAAAGCTTATCTAGCTCATGACGTCACGCCCATAAATTACAACCTAAAGCACCAGTGCCAAACTGCTCCCACCCTCCCACCCCAAAATGATGGTGATTAATATCAAACCCTGCTCATCCGTGCCTGCGCCTCTTGGGAATAAACACACACGAAGTACCTCCCGAGACAGAGTAGTATTTAAAGAGTCTTCAGACAATGAGAAGATTTATAATTATTATTGCATTGCATCATCACAAAGCCTTAAACAAATCAAGCTGCCTCATCATACAACGCCTAAGATAATATAAGGTTCAACAACATCAAGCAGTATCGGTGCACTCCACTTGTACCAAATGGCAAACAGCCCCAGCCCCCCATGCACAGGGATCTCCAGAAACGAGGAGCCTTAGTGCTATTATCAAACAGCAAGTTAGAGAGGCAAAACCAAAACATACAGATTTCTTTCAACAGACTCAGGACCAGAATGTTTCCATTGAAATCCAACCAACCAGGGCATGGGGAACGTGAAGGGCAGGCAAATGGGAAACTGAATTCAGCATTTCTCAGTTTTAGTTCGCCGGTCCGTGAGCAGGTTGGGAGAAATCATGGTGGTATCGAGAGCTAATATGAAACTACCTATTGATGACAGCCAGCTTTCCACAGCACGCAACAGACTTCCTCCTCGGGAACGAGAGGAGGCTGCCCATGGAGCCTGCCTCCCCGCAGAACTTGCAGACAAGACGGGCAGCAGCAAACGACTCTCTAACTACCACACTCCTGAATACCTTTGTAAGGGAAAGCAAGCCAAGTATCTCTGCTCCAGGCATAAATATCTGCTCCTCCGAGGCCGCAGCTACCCACAAATAATTGCTAATTATCCCAGTGCCCCTCCGATCCGCCTGCGCCAGGGAACTACCCACACGGCAGGCCCTGCACCAGGGAAGAGAGAGGCTCCACCGAGCCTGTCCACGCCAGCTGGGTCTGTGCCGTCTCCATCGCGCTCTGCCCGCACCGAATTCACCATTTCTGCGCGGTATTACCGATCTGACATCACGCCAGTGCAAGCACAGCCTGACATCTACAGTTAACTCGGTGATGGTGTAAGTGCCGCCCGGCTCGCAGGCGTTCCGTGTGGCAGTACGCGGCTGCTGAACATCGAGAAGGCAGGCAGATATATATAGATGTAGATACAGACAGCTATAGAGATCCACACAGAACGCCCGGCACGGAGGGCCCGCAGGGACCGGCCCGCTCCCCGCAGCAGAGCCCCCCGCCCGCCGCGCTGTGCCCGCCCCGGGGGCTCCGGCCCGGGGGCTCCGCCGCCCCCCGCAGCCATTCCCCGGCGGACCCGCTCCGCGTACAAAGCCCGGCGGGCCATGAATAAAACATCGCCCCGAGGAGGCGGCGGGGCGGGGGGCGGTCGGCATTCGGAGAAATTGGGGAAAGAATGGAAAGGCTGCGCGGGGACGCGGCGGCGGGAACGGCCCCGCGGGGTGGGGCGGGGGAGGCTCCCCCCGGACCCCGACCCGACCCGACCCGCCCGGCCCCGGCGGTCTCACCTCGGCAGCCGCCGCTCGGAGCGGCTCCCCCGGGCTGGCGCGGGCGGGAGGCGCGGGGCACCGGCGGCTCCAACTCGGTGTGCGGCGGCGGCGGGCGCGGAGCGGCCTCTCCGGGGAGCGGGGCGGGCCGGGGCGGGCCCGGGGCGGGGCGGGCCGGGGGCGCGCCCGGCCGTCACCGCGGAGGAGGAGCCGCCGCCCCGCCGAGCCCCGCGGGGCGCGGGGGCAGCTCCGGCATCCGGCATCCCGCATCCCGCGTCCCGCATCCCGCATCCCGCGTCCCGCATCCCGCGTCCCGCATCCCGCATCCCGCATCCCGCGTCCCGCGTCCCACATCCCGCGTCCCGCATCCCGCATCCCGCGTCCCGCATCCCGCGTCCCGCATCCCGCGTGGGGACCCCGCGGCTCCCGCGGCACCGCAGGGAAGCGGCGCGCTGAGGTGGGAGAGCGCCAGGCGTCCAGGGGAGGTCAGAGATGCTCAAATAAAGAACCGCAGAATCGTCAGGGACCTCTTGGAGATCGTCCGGTCCGACCTCACTGCCAAAGCAGGGTCACTTGGAGCAGGTGACACAGGGACGCGTCCGGGTGGGTTTGGGATGTCTGCAGAGAGGGAGACTCCACGCCCTCCCTGGGCAGCTGTTCCAGTGCTCTTCCACCTTCATGGAAAGAAGTTCTTCCCCATGGAAGCAAAAGGGCAGGCGCTGATCTCGTCGCTCTCATGACCAATCACAGGACTCGAGTAAACAGCAAGAAGCTGTGTCAGGAGAGGTTTGGGTTGCACATCAGGAAAAGACTCTTCCCCCAGAGGCTGGTTGGCACTGAACAGACTCCCCAGGGCAGAGGGTGCGGCCCCAAGGCTGCCAGAGTTTAAGGACTGTTTGGACAAGGCTCTCAGGGACAGGGTGGGATTATTGAGGTGTCCTGTGCATGGCTAAGATGATCCTTGTGGGTCCCTTCCAACTCAGCATGTTCTGTGTTTCTGTGTTGAGGTGGAATTTGTTGTGTTTCAGTTTATGGCCACTGCTCCTTGTCCTGTCGCTGGGCACCACCGAAAAGAGTCTGGCACCGAAAAGAGTCCTCTTGGCACCCGCCTGTGAGATATTTATATGCATCTCAAACGCAGACCCCCATGCCTTTGGTGTCCTTCTCCAACTCAGCAAGGGGACAGTGGAGTGCTTCTGTGCCTTGTTATGGAAGCTGTTTTCTCAGGAAAGTAATGCCTGTCAGTTTTATGGCACCATGCACACAGATTTTCACTGGCAAAACCATATTTTTCTGTTCACGGAGGCAGAGTTTTTAATGAGAATTACTTAACTGAAAAACTGGAGATGGAGGTGAAGCTTCTTTGAAGATTGGCTTGTAAAAGCTATCACAGACTGCTCCCGCCAGGAAGTGCTATCATGTGAACTAGAAAGACTCCAGCAAGCCTACATCCTTTTCATGACTTACAGTTTTAGTATTGTCCAATAATCCAGGCAGATATGTTTTCGTCTAAGGACCTTTTTCCTTCACCATGATGAAAATGTTGAAATAAAGAACAGTTTGTTTGCCAGATCATTGGCAAGATTCTATTTGAAGTCATTTCTGTCTTCGAGTTTCTAGCAATTAATTATTTGTCACTGCATTGGAAATCACTACCAGAAAGGTGCACATAAACAACATCGAGACATTCCAAAAGAGGGAATATTTTCAACTCTAGGTTGACAACTATGAAGTTGACCAGTTTTGGTTTTTCTCTGCAGAGAGCCCGATGCTGTTTCCAAAGACGCATGGTGCTTTTACAGTGAAAAATGTATGATTGCTATGCCTCTATAAATTGTGCTTCCAATAAAAGTGACCATAAAAGAACAGCGTGAAGCAAACATATTTTGTTTAGCCTCCACAAGCAAACCTCCCTGATGTTTTCCTTGTGATGTGTGCAGCTAGTTAACATGCATAATAATTATTTATACATAAATCCATTTCCTTATGCACAAATTTACTGATCAAGCCTTTGCCTACCACTCTCATGTAGTCAAAGAGATGTCTAAAAGCAGAAAATAGCTATTTCACTGATTTCTCATGTTTGTTTTACTCATTTTTGAGATGAGACAGTGCAGTTATTTTTAGAAGCTGAAGAATTATAAACAGAGTAAACAATTTCTGATATCTAGAACATACTTGATACTAAGCGTAGCTCACATCAGCTGTGCCTGTTGCTCTGTCCCTGCCTAGTGGTGCCTGAACTGAGTATTAATTCATTAACCCAAGAATAAATTATGGGTTTAATATGAAAACCAAAGGCTGGGGGTTGTTCCTGCAAAAGGAGGACAAATTTCATCCTGACTTTTTGTACAGTAGAAATCAACTTTCTCAATTCAGTTCTGCTGCTGTTGTGGGAATAAATTGACTTGGATCTGAGGGAGCAATGGACTAAAGAGTAGCCAGCAGCAAATATTTAATATTTGCAAAGACAAAATTGTTATTGTTGTTGTTGCTGTTGTTGTTATCATAAGAAAAAGAAAGAAACACACGAGCCCCTCAAAATTCTTGGATAGGAGAAGGATGAGGTTAGAAATGAGTGTGGAAGGTCAGCGGCTGCAGAGGTTGCACCTGGTTGTCTTCTTTTGAAAGAAGCTCCACCTCCATGCCAAATGCTGCCGCACTACAATTTTTTGTTGGCTTTATCTATGCATTGTTTCTGTTCTGATGAAGCCCTTTGATTGCAGCATGCTTTTTGCCCAGGCTGATGTATATTATTTCCAATGCAATCGTAGTGGGAATATGGACTAGTTTCTCACTTTTGTACTCACTTCACACTGTCAGAGTGCCCTGACATTCACAGAGGAGCATTTTCACTAAATAACACTAACTACACAGGCAGAGGTAAAAGTGTTACTGATGGTGCATGTGTAGAACAAGCCTTGAGGATGCAAAATGCAAACAGGAATGCTGGAAAGAGCAAACCTCTTAAGAGAGCAGTTAAAACAGTGGTGGAGAAACACCAGTTTGGCCTCTTTAAGAAGAAAAAAGTTATTTGGCTTTCATCCCACTGCTGCAGTGAAATCAATGTCTGTGCATGCGTGCCACACATGCTGCCTATGTTATAATAATGCAGCAATGCTAACAGGACTCTCTGCCTTCTTTTCTCCTAAAAATGGGAATGCAATTCACTTGTCTATGCCAAAGGTTGTACCTGTGTGCTAGTTGTTCTGGGTAAAAAATAGACCATTACTTCAGTCAGGTAGTTGTTAGCAGCACAACTGTCTGTGTTTCAAGCTGAAAACTGTTGCAAATGCCTAAGTTACCCTGTTTTATTTTCTGAAAGACACCGGTGATCTCCTGATACTTCAGTGAAGCTCTTCGCTTCAGAAATGGGAGAAATGGGAGCAGTTATATCTCAGCTTATAGATAAATAGGTGAAATTGCTGCACATTTATCCCAAAGAACAGGAATTTAGAAGGAAAACTAAAAATTAAGTATTCTGATTAATTGGTGTCACCTTGATCCCGGCAGAGAGATGCTAATGTAAACCTCACAATGACTAATTCATTTTCCCTCTAAGAATTGTAGTCCCAAAACATTGAACTATTTCCTAACTGTGCTGATATTCAAAGATCTTTGTAAACCTTTGTAAGATCCTGAGGGTTGGGAAATACGGTCACTGTGAAAGGACTCTGACTGCCAGGGTGATGAAGCCATTCCTCCATCCCCCAGGACTGGAGGAGAATCAGAGTCAGGCTTATGAGGACCACATAGCTGGTGCTGCTGGATAACAAAGAGAGGGTGCAAGCTCTGCAAATGCAGTGTCTTCACATGGATTTTCCATGTCCTGTAAAATTTGAAATGTCAGGTACCAAAAATTTTTACAAGATGCCAAACTTGCTGAGGTGGGTTTGATGCTGCAAACCAACAAGCTGCTCTTTGAGCTGTTCTGCTGCTTGACAAGCGACACAGGAACAGACAGTGTGAACTTCCCAGCTCCTTTTTAATGGTGCATTAACATCAAAGACTAGCTTTACATATTTAAATGACTACAAATTTGTGGATGTTTGTTTTGCACAGTCTGGCCCTGCTTGTTGCATTCACTGTCGTTATTAAAATGGAAATGGGTGTCAATCTGCAAGAAAGAAAAACTTGGACTGCAAATTCTGGGTATATCAGAGAATGCATTTTAACCAATAAATAATTATGACTCCCTCAAAGGCAGGGAGGCCCTGCAGAGAGACCTCGACAGATCAGGCAATCTGATCTGGGCAACCAGGACTGGGCAATCACCAACCACATGAAGTCCAGCAAGGGGAAGTGGCCACATTCTGCACATGGGATGTGTGGACAGACTGGGGGTGAGAGGCTGGAAAGCAGTGCTGGGAAAGGGCCCTGGGGGTCCTGGTGGGTGCCCAGTTGTCCCTGAGTCAGCAGTGCCCTGGCAGCCAGGAGGGACATCCCTGTCCTGGGGCATCAGGGAGGGGCTTGTCCCGCTCTGCTCTGCCCTGGGGCGGCCTCACCTCAACATTGGGGCAGTTTGGGGGGACACAATGGAGGGAAGGGATTGAGCCATTGGAGAGTGTCCAAAGGAGGGACACGGAGATGGGGAAGAGCCTTGATTTGAAGCCATGTGAGGACACTGAGGGCACTTGGTGTGTTCAGCTGGAGCAGAGGAGACTGAGGGGAGACCTCAGTGCAGTTCCACCTGCCTGGGCAGGGGCAGAGGAGGGGCAGGGACTGAGCTCTGCTCTGGGGGGAGCAGGGACAGCAGCCAGGGAATGGTTGGAGCTGTGACAGGGCAGGGTCAGGTTGGATCTCAGGCAAAGGTTCTTCCCCCAGAGGCTGGTTGGGCACTGCCCAGGCTCCCCAGGGCAGTGGGCACAGCCCCAAGGCTGCCAGAGCTCAGGGAGGGTTTGGCTGATCCTCTGAGGCACAGGGGGTGACTCTTGGGGATGGGCCTGTGCAGGGCTAGGAGCTGGACTCAATGATCTTTGTGGGTCCCTTCAACTCAGCGTATTCTGGGATTCTGTGATCTCAGAATAAATAATGCCCTTGGAAGCATGAACTGCTCTCATTCACCTCACCCAGCAGAACACCTGTTCAGAGGGCAAAAAGGAGTCTGAAATACTGAAAAAGAGTCAAAGATTAATCTGCATCAGTTACAGCTGCATAATTCTCCAGAACTTTCTTTTTCACATTTTCATCATCACAGAACATTAAAGCCCTGGGACAGAAAGCTGTAAGAAGGAAAAGAAAAGAGAAACCTATAGATACACATGGGAATTTTCAGATAATCTTTACTTATTTCAATTCTATGTGCAATGTTTGTTTATTTACAGATTCAATTATTCTCTTTATACCTGAGCTTGCAATTAGGCAAGATAAGACAAAATAGGTAGATAAGCTCTCAGATAAACCACCCACATTTTGGATGCCGTATAAACAAGAACAAAAGATCTGTGTCAGAGCATCCAATTCTGAGGTCCTAATTCCAGATTAACAGTTTAGCAAAGCTGTCTATTAATTTCAGGGAAAGACAGAGAGAGGAAAAAATAAGCAGGAACTTTAGTTTTCAGTTGTTCAATATTTGGATGCAGCATGGATACTTCTAAAGTTAATACATTGGGGGGGTTATCCTAAATTATGTTATGTTCTGGGACTGGAGTCACAGGCTGTGTGCCTGTACAATAATAAGATTAGTCAACCAAGATCATAGAATCACAGAATCATAGAATACCCTAAGTTGGAAGGGACCCACAAGGATCAACAAATCCAGCCCCTGGCCCTGCACACAGGATCAACTTTGATTTGTGTGTTTGGAGGCCCAGTTTGTCAGAAACCCCCATCCTTTGCTATGCTACTTCTCTAAATAGGCAATATATGGTCTGAAAACCCAGGAAATTAGTGGTGAGGACTGGGTACTATGGTCCCATTCAGGACACCAGCAAATGATCCCTCTTACTTTGGTTGTGCAGAATTGCATCCAAAGCACATGCTGAGTTGTGCTCATTACTGAGTTAGCACCAAAAAAGCCAAGAACATTTTCTTCTAGCCTACACATTTGTTTCTCAGTACCACATAGGCGAGCACGACTTTCTCTTTAAGCCTCTTAAGCTTTAACACAGCTCATTTTGACACTAAATTATACAGAGAACACTTACGTGAGCAGCTCTACCTCCTCTGGAGAGGTGGGCATCTCCTGGTGGGAGCACTGAGGGACACTGCTCACTAGTGATTTTTTTCTCCTAGCACAGGTGTTTGCAAAGCACAGACCCACTTCCACTCCTGACCTCCATCAGGAGTATACAAAGTACTAAGTTAGAGCCCAGTCTTAGGTTAGAAATTTAAGTTAGAGAAAGGGCACTTGTCTGACCCAGAGACCCTCCATACACCAATATTTTGGGACGTGCGCTGCTGGCTCATACGGGCTCCTGATGACCACAAACCACATCCACTGGGATGTGCTACTGTGGCAAATGCCCATGAGGAATCTGCCAAGGCCTGGGATCAAATGGGAAGGGTTACTGGGGAGCAATCCTTCATATAGGGTACTTTGTGTTGGATTTTGCTGTCCGGGTATTTGGGAAAGGGTTGGGTTAGTGTGATGGGAGATAGTAGTGGCTGTGTAATGGTTCCTTGGCAGGATGGCCAGAATACAATCAGAGTAGTTTGGTTGTGATAAGATCTCAACTGCTGATGTTGAATACTGAGATGACTACATTAGGAGATAAACATTGTTAAACTGTATGTGAATCAGTCCTTCAGGGGCCCATAAAAATACTGCTTGCAAGAACATAAAGCAAAATCTAGTGACTATAACAGTAATGAAGAATTTGGGCATTTTTAATGTGTTTTATGCAAACACAGAAAAAACCAAAAGCAA